ATCACTTGTGGGGAACCCATAATCTTGCTCCTCTTAGGTAATCTATGGTTCTATTTTTATTTTATTTTATATTCCTATTTAATTATAATCTCCTACATTGGTAGCATAAAATAAAAGTATAAACCAGTCGAGCTCAAGAGCTTGAGCTTACAATACTCGATTTCTCGAGCTCAAGCTAACTATGACGAGATCGATTTCGGCTCAATTATCAATATTAATGAGGTGAACTCGAGCTCCAACGAACCGAGTTGAACTCGTTAATTGAATCAACTTCAAATGAACTCAAATTTGGCTCTTTATCAAACAAACTGAGTTGAGCCATAAAAAAGAAATAATAATAATAATAATAAAAAAAATGTGCCATTTTGTGTTGTAGAATTTGGATTGAAATTATGACTTCGGTCAAGATAGGCAATACTTTGGGCAGGCAACACCCTGCAGGGAAAATTTCAAAATTAGTCCCACAAGTATAGGGGGGTGACAATTTTGGTCCCGACGGAATGCAGAAAATATGAATAGTCCCACAACTTTTAAAAAATAATCAAAAGTAAGACTTTTTCGCCGGATTTACTATTTTCAGCCCGGAACGCCACGTGGCATCCGACGTGTCCATATTTTTTTACAAGTTATGGGACTAGTTTTGAATTTTTTCCTATCTACGTCGGATGCCAACGTGTAAAAAATAAGCCACGTGTGCGCCACGTGTACGCCACGTGGCGCTCCGGGCCGGAAATAGTAAATCTGGCGAAAAAGTCCTACTTTTGATCATTTTTTAAAAATTGTGGGACTATTCATATTTAGTGTATTTCGTCAGGACTAAAATTGTCACCTCCTATATCTGTGGGACTATTTTTAAATGAATCTAAAGACGATTATAAAATACAAATGGTTAAAAGAATTTATCAATAAAGTAAAGAGAGAGTACAAAATTTAAGGTGATTACGAAACTTTTTGAAGAGTTAATTAGATTGTGATGTGAAATGAAACAGCCCATGTGACACCGACTTATTGATATCGTGTTAATGGTTGCACGCGAATTCAAGTTTTAATTAATTTATTATGTGTTCGAATTCCCAATATAAATTAAAAAGTACGGTTAAATTTGTGAATAGTGATTATTATAATCAAAAGGCACTTTTAGGTTAGTTAACCGTATTAACTAATTAATTAATTCTCCCTGACTATAATGCAATGTTCAATCATTGATTAATCTGATGAGGAATATTGCAATGTTAAATGAATTGGAATTAATTATATATATTAAACTCTGAACTAAATTAAACTGAGTTGTACATGCTTCTTCAGTATTGGCCATCATTTTATTGGTCTCAACAGTTCTCTTTTTCATACTTCAAGAACTATTAATTAATATGCATTGAGAATATAATATATCAGTAAGCAGTAATGCTATGGAGCCAACAACCAATGTGAGACAGCCCCACATGGAGCTGTCTCATTGGCTGTTGGCTCTGTAATGGAGTCAACAGTTGACTCTTTAGCATTACTGGTTATTGTATCATTAAGATCAAAAATTCTATCAGTAAGATTGTTTTATATCTAAATTTATACTAAGTTGTGTTAATTGCTATTAAGAAATTATGACGAGACAATTGTCTTACGTTAGTTCGATTCAACGCATCACATTTATTAAGTTCATAGCCCATTAGGTGCATGTATATATTAATATGACCACAATCCATCTAACTGTACAGTTATTTAGCCACCTAATTCTGTTACACAATGCTACATTATGTATCTGATTGCTACATTCCAAGGGTGATACAAATCAAAAACTTGGGGATGCTTGGATATAAGAAGTTTTGATTTTGTTTGGATTTTTTGGTTTGATATGGTGAATTTTGAAAAAGAAAAAAAAAATAATATGATTAGTTGTTAGTGAGATTTTGAGTTTATTAAAATAATATTTAAAATAAAATAAATAAAGTTGATTTGATCACTACAAGAATCTTGATGAAATTCCAATAGAAAATTTCAACGGAAATATATTTCAATAGAATTTCAACCGTAATTTCAATAGATATTCCAATGTTATTATTCTCATTGGAATTTTTCAATAGATTCCAACAGAAATTTCAACAAAACTATTCCGTTTGAATGAGTTATCCATTGAAATTTTCGTTGGATTTTGATGATTCCAACGGTACATTTTCCAACGGTTGAAATATAGATGAAAATAAAATTTCAACGAAAATTGTATATTTTAACAAAAATTCCTACGGTAAAAAACGTTGGAATAATAGCCGTTGGAATGATCAAATTCTATTCAAATTCCAATGGAAAAACTCATTCCAACGGATTAATTCCGTTGTAATTTTCGTTGGGTCATTCCAACGGAAGCTATACTATTGGAATATTCGTTGGAGTTTCCATTGAAATATATTACTGTAAAATTTTTCGTTGTAATATGATATTTTTTTTTTTTTTGTAGTGGATGTAAAAGTAGAAGAGAGATGATTTTAAGTGATGGTTGATTAAAATTATGGAAGTAAATGAATAATAGATTAAAGTTGATGTTGTGTAAGAATGATTGAGTTGTATTATTTAATTGTATCGATAAGATTGAGGATAATGATGTTGAGTTAAAATTGAGTTAGATTTGAGTAGAAAAAAATTAATTGGTTGAAAATGACTTGTTTTGTCAAAACCTGGATTTTCCGACAAAACCGATCTACCAAAACCACGATCATGAACAAATGCAATTTTTTAAAGAAAAAATAAAATAAAATTTCATCCAAGCATGCATTTAACTTCTTGAAACGGGTAAGTTCAACCCTAATTGCAATCATATCATTTTACATCGCAGAGTTAATACATACACGTGAAGGTATATATTTTTGATCCAATAATAAAAAATTCAGTATGTGGGTGTGTTTTTATGAATTATTTCAATTCATATTTAATTAGTATTAAAAATTTAACTTAAATTTAACTAAATTCCACTATCTTTAATATTATCAATTATAAATAATAAATATCAATCAATCATTCTTACGTATCACACCAACTTTAATTTACTATTCATCCGCTCACATAATTTTAGTTAATCATTATTTCATATCAATATTTTTACATCAAATTAACTTTAATTATTTTAATTTAAATATTATTTTAATATAAATTTAAAATCACACTAACAACATACTAACTTTTTTAAAATTAACCAAGATTAAAAAACACTCGTTTTGAACGGATATATTTGTATGCAAACATGTCCTAAAGATCTAAATGTTCCCTTAGAAACCCATGCCATGTCCCGAAAAAAAATAAAAAGCAAAAAAAAAGAAGAAACAATTTTATGAAAGTTTTATATATATAAGATTCCTGCAGAGTGCACACACTAAACTCATCTAACTTTTTGTGTCAAAAATGCCCAAAATCTTNAAAAAAGAATGAATTAATTAATAATAGTCCCTCCCTGCAGTTTGTACCCTGCATGTGCTCTGCCATCCTGCACCCCTGCTTTTATCAACTAATCCACACCGTCCATTCTTTCAAAATCTCAAATTTCTCACCATATAAATTGCCCCTTAATTTTCTCCAAAATCCCTCCCTCCGTTTTTAGCACTCATCTTTTATTTTTCTTCTCAATAATTTCTCGTAACCTTTTTCTTTCTTTAACATTAAATAAATAGATTTGAAGTGTTGAGGATTAGCAAAATGGGTGAAGGAGCCACCAAAAAGGTTGGCTTTTTATTGCATGGAAATTGAAAATTTCTCTAATATTTTTGTATAGATAAATAATAATTAAGAATTACATGCAATTTTATTTATTTTTTATTATTTCTTAGCAGGAGGAAACTAAGCCTGAGGAGAAGAAAGAAGAAAAACAAGAAGAAAAGAAAGAAGAAAAAAAGGCAGAGGAGAAGAAAGAAGAGCCTAAAAAACCACCCCCACCTTTTGTGTTGTTTGTGGACTTGCATTGTGTGGGGTGTGCCAAGAAAATTGAGAGATCCATTCTAAAAATTAGAGGTATATACCAAAACTCCAATAAATTCTACACTATACTTGCAATAACTAATTTCTTTTAGTAAAGGTAGTTGTGTTATTTCACAGAGTAAAGTAATTATTATTCATAAGTGACTAATATTCATCTTTGCATTTGCTACTTAGCCATAAAACCAAGGCACTATTATACAAAAAGTGATAATAACACTAAATAGCCATGTAACTTTTAAAAAGATTGAAAAATAACCACTTTTCGTGGAACTATGAAATAATAGTTATTTTTGTCATGTGAAATGACACAATTACCATTACTATAAAAACTTTCCGAAAATTCAGTTTTTGGTAGTAAAGGTAATTGTGTGATTTCACAACAAAATTACTATTATTCATAGTTTCACAAAAAGTAACTATTAGGGTTCATTTTTGCATTTGCTGCAAATTAATACTTTCACAAAAATTACTATATATATATATATATATATATATATATATATATATATTTCATCTTTGCATTTGCTGCTTGGCTATAAAAACCAAGATACTGTTTTACAAAATCGTAAAAAAACCCCTAAACGTGCCAGTTTTCGACACTTATGCGCAATGAATTAGGAGAATTAATGTCGAGATTGAATTAACGTGCATGAGTGATTCGAATTTTAGGAGTGGAAGGAGTTTCGACCGACATGTTGAAAAACGAGGTCACGATAAAGGGAGTCGTGGAGCCTCAAGCCGTGTGTAATAGAGTTATGAAGAAAACAAAGAGAAGGGCAAAGGTTTTGTCTCCTCTGCCGGAGGCTGAAGGCGAACCCATGCCGGAAGTCATTGCCTCTCAGGTATTATTAGTTACTTGAGGGGCTATACTGCAAAATTCACAAATTTTATACACGATTCAAAATTTGCAACTAATTATATATATAAGTGTGATCTTTTGTAGGTAAGTGGATTAACTAGTGTGGAGCTTAACGTGAACATGCATTGTGAGCCTTGTGCCCAGCAGCTTAAGAAAAAAATACTCAAAATGAAAGGTAACATGTATATATATCTCAAAATGATCCATGGGTTCTTAAAATCTTAGTCCCTTTTTTTTTTCTACTATTTTGCACAATGGCCATGTGTTTTATGTATTATTCACATTGCACCATGCAACCAAATTTTCGGAAAATGTTATGGAACCATCCGATGGCTCCGTTATGGAGCCATCCTCATTGAAAAACGTATTCTGAGAATATGTTTTTCAAATAAATCTCAGAATACGTTTTTCAATGAGGATACCTCCATAACGGAGCCATCGGATGGTTCCATAGCAGGACTGCCAAATTTTCCCCAACTTTAAAGTTGTGGAATCACTTAATTTATCCTTAAGGTATGTATAACTGTGTTTTCAATACTAGGGGGTGAAAAAGGAGAAATTTTTTAAATTTCCGGTGGGGAAATCAAACCCCCTCTTTTTTTTCTTTTTTTGAAAATTACGAAATATAACTAGTAATCTGAAGTATGACAACCTTGCTCAATAATTTTTGTGGTTGAACAATAATAAATTTAATTGCGAATATTCTACCCAAATAGGCTTAGTTAGTGGACGATTGCGAACTATATATAGTTAGTAATTTGGGACAAATGATAATTTTATTCAGTAATTTTTTAGATTTTACAAATGCCCACTAAGTAATAAAAATTCACCCCTACAATTACCAACAATTCCCACTTGAAGATTAATTCAGAAAATAAGAAAATATTAAACATTAATTAATTAATTAATCCTCGCGTACATAACTGCAGGAGTAAGAACCGCAGATACAGAGCTAAGCTCCGGCAAAGTCACGGTCACCGGAACCATGGACGCCGACAGGCTCGTTGACTACGTCTACCGGCGGACGAGAAAGCAGGCCAAGATCGTGCCACAGGCCCAACCCGAACCCGATCCCGAAAAGCCTCCTGAAGAGGGCCCGAAGCCCGAGGAAGAGAAGAAAGACGAAAAAACGGCCGCCTCAGAAGAAGGCGGCGGGAAACCCGAGGAAGAGAAGAAAGAGGACGGCGAGAAGAAGGACACGCCTCCGCCAGAGGAGGAGAAGAAAGAAGGCGGCGGCGGCCCGCCGGAGCAAGGCGGCGAGGCAGCGGAGGTCAGCGTGGAGGAGCACGTCGTGCATAAAATGATGTACCATTATTATCAGCCGGTGTACATGATCGAGAGGATTCCGGCGCCGCAGCTTTTTTCCGACGAGAATCCTAACGCGTGTAGAATTATGTGATGAGGATCGAATTTGTCGGGGAAAAAAAGGAGGAAGAAAAAAGGGAATTAATTATTAGAGGAAAATTTTCTGTTCCTCTTTAATTATTATGCCTCGTAATTATTATTATTATTTGATCAAAATGGAATGTGATCATATCTGGAGGGATTCTGTAGTACTATCTTGTTTGTATTTTTTTAGTACAATGAGATATTAAATGCAGAAATTAGGGGTAATTGCATTTCTCAATTGAATTGATGTTTCTCTTTTGTATTTTTTATTTAATTTCCTTTTTTTGGCTTTTCTAGTGGCTAGAGCTAGTCTATCAAATAATTAAGCAAGTTTATTTATTAAGTGAGTCGAGCCAAGGTTACTTGCGCATAAGTTATACGCTAAATTTTGTATGAGTTTTAAAAGAAAAAAGGCAATTTGTTGAATCTTAGCTCAACCAACAAAATCAGATATTTTCATTACACGTACATTGTGTGTACAAAGTCTGAGTCTTTTATTTACATGCAGTGACACAAAACGACGTCGTCTACTTTAACAACACAAATCATTTGGAACGACGTCGTTCTATCTTATTAAAACGTAAAAACATAAAAGAAAGACGCAACACGCGTTTTGAATAGAAAAGAAATAGAGAAAGTAGTTATAATTGCCACACTGAGAACAGAGCCGCATGATCCTATACTCGACCTATCCTTTGTACACATTCCAAGATCATCATCTTCTACACAATTGAACTTGTTTGCCAATGAATCGTTCATTATGCATGCTCGCGAATAAATCGTTTTAGACTGATTAAATGAATCGTGATGCACTCTAGAGCTTCTACGTGCATATTTCTGAATATATATGAGCTACTTGGCTAGACGCCTAGACTCGTCTCATATAACACATCTACTTGTGGTGTTTATTTTATCAAATATGGTTTCGTAGCTGAAATCATGTGTTAAACGTCTTACGAGCCTCTTTAAAAAATGAAAAATACTACATTGCCAACCTAGTGTACAATTAGGTTGACAATATAAATGAAAACATTCACTTAAGTATTTTTTATTTATAAATATTTCTATTAATATTGTCAACCTATTTGTACACTAGGTTGACATAGTAGTATTTTTCTTAAAAAATTCGAGTTAATATAATTCATTTAAATTTTAAACTTGAAAATAAGATTAATGGTACATGTTAAACAATATTTAGAATCACAAATAAACATGTTAAATTAAAAACCCTTTAGGTTTTGTTTGTGGACGTCACATGGCAGGTCGAAAGACGAAATGAATCCTATGTGTACGATTTTGGAATTTCTCGGGTAGATTCCCCGGTTCGGGTCGGATCAGAAAAGTACCAAATGGATCTAACGTGGTGGGACCCGCCCCATATTGTGATCCGGCTCATCAATACATAGAATTTTAAGTACATATTATTAGTTTTTATCCTGTGTGGACGTCAGGACGTGGGCATTATTTAGCATCCACCCACCATGTGGGGATGTGTTATTATGGGAGTTAGATTAGCCAATTTTTAGGTCCAAAATCTGGTGATTAATGTTTGTAGGGTATGAGCAATATCATGCATTATTGTAAATGACTCGATCTGTCATCCTATTGTAAAAAAAATGCATATTTATGTTATAAAATTTTATATTTTTATTTATGTTGTTTTTTAGAGTATAACATTTCAATTTAAAAATATACAAATTTGTTGAAAAAGTATGATCCTTTAACAATTGGGTCAGTCGAATAGCATCATTTCTGGAATATTAGACTCTATATTATTTTAAAAACTATGTAGTTTGTATTCTTATTTTGAATTGTTTATCATTTTAGTTGATTTTTTAATTATATATGTATAAGAAATTATAAAGTAGACTCAATAATAAAATGTAAGACTTAAATATATGATTTAGGAAAATTCCACAGAAATATATTAGCTAAGATATGAAATGTTGGTTGGATAATTTTATTTATAACAAAAATTACTTATAAGCATGTACAATTTTATACTATATAAGCATTTATTCTCAATAATAATAATAATAATAATAATTAATTTAGTAATAATGCATTCATAAGTAGACATTCTCTACCACTGCCATCCAAACAAGAAGGTTCTTGCATTAGAAAATTGTAAAGTTGGTGCAACTGTTCCTTTTTCAATAAAGCCTGATGTAAACTATTATGGAATTTAATGGTGAACCATAACAGGTTTATGGATTTTGCAAATAAAGTTAAATACATGAAGACTGCAAATTTTATTGTAATATTATTTCATATTATTCATCTTTTATAATTCTTTTATTCGACCCTGAAGATCATGCGCATGCAGGGGAAGTATACGTGTACAAAAATGGCGCAAGTTTTGCACTTTTCCTACTCACTATGACTATGTGCTTTTCTCAATTCTAATAAGTTAAATCATAAATAATTAAATATAGAAACCTTAACCAACTAAGCTAGTTATTATGNCTAGCCGCTGTTTAAAATTATTATTGCTTGATTTAACTATGCTCAAAGATTGCAATGCTATTTTGTGATAAATGAAACGAGTCGCTCGTGAGTTCAGTTCCGCTTGACTCGTTTGATAATTGAGTTGAACTCGAGCTTGTTTAATGTTCGTTGGTTAAAAATGTAATTTTTCTGAACTATTATCATATATCGGCTCCTTAACTTAACAGTTCCGCTCTATTGGATTAATATAGAGAAAAATGAAAAATCTCAAAGCACATATATGATGTCATCGGAAAGGTGGAAGTTTTATTAAAGCGGCTACAAATCCATCTTTCTAAAAGGAAATCACATGTGTTCATGTCTACTACTTTTCAATAAGAAATAAATAAAATCCATTATCTAAACTTATCCTAAGATTTGGATTTGAACATATATCAAAGTGCTATAAATAGGCATCAACAAAAACATATAGATCAAGTTGTAGCAAAAATTAAGTAGTGGGAGTTTAATTAATGGCTAATCTGCAATTAGTTCCAGCTGGGAAGAATGTTGAGGCACAATATGTGGAAATGATGGTGCCTTTATATTCTTATGGATGTGAGAAGAAAATCAAAAGGGCTCTTGCCAATCTCAAAGGTAAATTGTANATTTGCATTTTAAAAAAAAAAAAATACATTAAAAGAAAATCAGAAAGTTTTTTTGTGAGTTATGATTGATCAGCAATGTCACTTATTTATTTGGGAGTATTAAGAATGGTTCATCTAAATATACGAGCTGGGGGGCTTATTGGGCCGACTAAATTTTATTAGTCTTAAAATGGCCCATTAATAGCAGTACTGGACCCTTGACACAGTGTCCAATTGTTCATAACAAGTACATGGTTACATATATGATTTTTTGTAACGATTGTATTAAGAATAAAGAATAAAAAAGACATGACAACATTTGTTTCTCCAATTAGCTGAAAAATAAGCAGAAAAATTGTGAACAGTAAAGTTTAAAAAACGCATCAATTAATATATAGATAGATAGTCAAATAGATAATGTATTATCCTAGTTAGAATTTACTACTATTATTATTGAGAGTTTTTGAATGAGATATTTGAATAATTTGAATGCACATTTTTGCAGGTATATACTCGGTTAACGTAGATTATGATCAACAAAAGGTAACTGTATGGGGAATTTGCGACAAGCACGACGTGCTCACGATCGTGAAGAGTAAAAGGAAAGGGGCCCGTTTTTGGAATTCAAACGATGAAGCAAATCGACTTCATCAAGAGTCACATTCTGCGCCTTCTTCACCAAAACCTTCATTAATTCGTAAAAGCTCGGCACGCTATTTGACTATGATAAAACGTCAGTCACTAAAATTAGATTTGTCGATGGTAAAGCGCAAGTCTTTGAATTGGCAAATTTTGAAGAAGGTTTTTGTGAGATCATACTCATTCTAAGAACTGCAATGTTGTGATGGAAAAAATATCCTTGAATGATATGTATGTGGACTTGCTCTTTTGTATTGAAATAAATCACCAACTTTTGTGCCTTTTGTAATATTAAGGTTGAGCAATGGTATTTGTATTTGATAATTTGAACATGATAATGCAAATACTTTCATATAGGATAAGTAAGAGTTGTAAACGAGTTAGAATCGAATATTAATCGATTTGAACTTTTGAGACACGAGTCAAATTATGTTACAAGTTCAGAAAATTACATCAAAATCCTAATTATCAAGTTTAACAAGTTTTAGAAACATTATTGAGCTTGGTTTGTTTGCCGTGTCCAATTGAGACGAGCTCGCAAGCGACTCATTTTATTTTAAGATGCACATATGAGGATGATATAAAAAAAAATATTGAACTCAACTCTATTAATGCGAAATTATATGCTAACTCTATATTTATCATTATGTAAAAAAAATATATATTATTAATTTTATTTGATGTGATATTCATGACGACTTGATGAGGTTGTACATATATATTTGTAAATTTCTTCCAAGGTACAAAACTCCCATTAGACATTACACACCGGGCCTTGACATTACATGTGTGAAAAGTGCAGATTCATAGAAATCAATAATGCCCAACTTTTGAACAATCAACTCCTAAAAGTTGTGTGTCACAATTCAAATTATGATTTGTAATTCAACTAGTTTTTGAGGGAAAATAAAATATGCAACCATATATTTTATATCTAAATTCAATTTATTTAGCTAAAAATTAATATTGCTCATTCGAATATTTTATTTCATATAATAGAGCTCACTATAACTAAATTACTATAAGATGAAAATGACAGCCTAATTAAAACATTTCTTAATTTTATTTTTGTCTTAAATACTTTTGAGTAAATTTTAGTCAAACACGCTATGCAAGATAAAAATAAGAGTGACTAGTCTTTCACGCAACTCTGGATACGGATTACGGAAAACGTGGGTTATTATTAATCAAAGAAAAAAAAGTACTGCTAATCACACGCAAGTGATATAAGTCGGCAATAAAATAATCATAAGGTCATACCAAATTTATTAATTTAATTAATAGTTTGAGTTATATTGGTGTTGTTTTAAATATTATTGATAAATTATTAAAATTAGTTGTTCTGTAACATGTCCATACATAAAATATACCAATAAAAGCATTTCCAATGATACAATGTCTATTTTGAGATGTATAGTGTGAAAAAAAGAAATAAAATTATTGTCTCTAGTGATTAATGTCAATTGTAAAATAATTTGACACATGTAAAATAATAATTGATTGGTGGAGAGAAAAATATAAAATAAATAATTTTATATTAAATAAAAGATGTCTAAAAAATTTCTACACATTTTAAGTTTGGCTCATTAATTAATCGAGCTAATAAACAATTTGAGCTCAACTGATCAACATTGGCGAGTCAAATTAAGATATTAATTCATAATATTACTTTAAATTGTTATTTCCAAGCCTATCAAATATTCTCGGGTGGTTAACTATAGAAATTATTAATAAACAAGTTGGAATTGAGCTCATTTATCAAAGACAAATTAAGCTTAGAGCAGTTCTACGCTTCTAGCTATCCAACTTCTTTAGTCAAAACTAAAATTATATTTTCCTTATGAAATAAAAGGAAAAAGGTCCCACTCCCAAAAATCCCCAATTTTAATGAACCCCATCACCCCCTAACACCCCGGCTTCCTTATATAGACAGAACTCACAAATTTTATTCTCTACCACAAACTCTAGAGAAAATAACCGAAACAGAGATAAGATAACAAGAAAGATGATCAAGGTCGGAAAAATGGTTGAATTAATGGAGGAATACAGCCTTATCGTGGCACGAATGAGAGAGCAGCTTCATTTTATGCCACGGCGGCGCGTGGATTTCACCTTCCTGAGGACCCTGCACTCTGCCTCCACTAGCTCTATATCTCCAGAGTCTTCCTCTTTTTTCGTGTATTTCTAGAATAATACATTTTTATTTTCTGTTTTCTTGGTGGTTCTTTAATTTATGCATCCCCTTGAAATTAATCAGGAAGATATACCTGAATTGAATGTCATTCATTATTGTGAAACATTTTTTTTTACGTTAGATTTTTTGTGGATGTTATAGGTTGTGGATGATTTCATTGTAATTTTGTGGAAATTGGAAGAATTTCACGATTTTTCGATTTAATTTTGATTCTTAATTTTCTTGGCGACTCGTGCTTACGTGGCATATGTCTCGGTCACAGATGAGTTTATTTATTTGAGAAAAAAAATTTAGACCTGCAAATTATTGGCTTATTATAGTTTGAGCTGAGGACTATTGGCTAATTACAATTTACAACCTAAATAATTTAGTTAAATAGTTATTGAGTAATTTACGACCTACTTTATTGTGAATATTGAACTTTTCCAATATTTTGAAACACACATATCACTATTTTATAAAGTAATAGTATGTAGTTAATTTTATTGGTATAGTTTTTCCTCTTATCACTAATAATCTCACAATTACACTTTAATTTAACTTAGGCGTAAGAATGCCTTGGCCGGGACCATGCTGACGTGTCGCAAATTCACGTAGCCAACAAGCAACTCACCACACGTAATGATTTTCGTGAATTTCGGGAAAAAAGACACTTGAAGTTCAAATCCATCGTGTCCAAAAACAATAATATGTTGGTTAATGATTACAGTCTCTGCAATAGGGCCGAGGTATGGGCACCGGGAAATGGGCTAGGCAAGCTTTGGGCCTCAAACATTGTCCACCTCTGGGGCCCATATAAGCATTTCCTGCTGTTTGCTGGTACGATTTGAGTTTTCATTTTCAGTTTGAAAGTTTGGAGTATTTGTATTTTTATTGCTAATGATTTGAGAAGGTCATATCCATTGCAACACAGCATGTTCACTTGCATACCACACATCAATCTCACGTATAATCAGTTTCATAAATACTATTTTTCTCTCTCCTAGACTAGTCTTTTCAATAAATAAATACCCATTTTATTTAACACTAAATAATTTAAAAGGTGAAAAATGAAAAAAAGTAAATTTTACTTAGTTGGGTTCGGATCGTACCATTCGAGCCAGAAGTAAAAACTTGTCCCGTAAAAGGAATGGCACCTCAATTTGCTAGGGCATTGTAAAGTCTCACACCGTCGAGAAGAAAGCATGACTCGCTTAAAAACTACAAAATTGGATTATGAAATCGCTACACAGAATTTGGCATTGATGAGATCGAGAAGAAAGCATGAATCACTTTAGAAATTAAAAAAATTGGATTATGAAATCGCTAAACATAATTTTGGCAGTGATTTTTGGATACCAAATTGATACGTGAATAAGGTTCATACTACATCAAAATAATAATTGTCATAATGCACAAGCGACATTCTTGTGATTTTAAATATCACAGAAATTTTAAAATTAACAATTCCTATACTGACACATCATTTATATCATATATTATGTTAGAAAATTAAGCAACATTTTCTATCTATATATATATATAATAAGAATTAACATTTATCAAAAATAGTAAGTCAATCTTTGGTCCAAACTGATCAACATTAATTACATGTCATTTATAGTATATTTTTAATATATTTTTTTCTAAAAAATGGAAAGCATTAAATGTTGTCCTTAAAGTGAGGAGTTTGTTATTTTTTTATTTTCAAAAAAGTGGGCTGCTATTTAAATTTGGTTTATTGAATATTTGCGATGGTTTAACATGATGTGCATATCAAAAACTGACAATGCACGGGCTGCATCAATAAATTTGGTTATTGGTTACAATAAGCTATTTTTAAATTTGAATAAAAATGTACGTCACGACTGCTAATTCAATTAAACATCGGCCAATTATATTCTCCAAATTTAAAACCAGATATTCGGCTAATACAATTGCTTTGCTTGGCAGTTTTTTTTTAATAAAAAAATTACAAATAATTTAATAATAAAAAAAATTATGTGTTATTTTTTCTAACCATAAAAATATGCTTTTGTATTTTCAAAATATCAGAAATTTTTTTTTTCTATAAAATCGGCTAATACATATGTTTTGATTAGCAAATTTTATTTAAACAAAATTACGGCTAATTTAAGGGTAAAATTATAAAAAAAAAAAAAATCATTTGTTTATTTCTTTTGAAAACATTTTGTCTAATCATCAAATCGGGCAGTTTCAATTAAAAGAATAAAGTTGCGGCTATTCAATTGTTTTATTTGACAATTATTTATAAAGAAAAATAATACACGGGTCTAATTTTGAAACGATCAAAATTTTTATGGTCTTTGTTTAAATCAGAGATTTGAAATAAGAATAATCTCCATATTTAAATTGCTTTAATTGTAAAACGTGATGTATACAAGATTTAGATAGATTTATCACATAACTCCCTAAATTAATGATTTTATTTTTTTCTAGGTTTCAAAATACCAAATCCTAAAGTTGCGGCTGATTTAGTTATTAAACGATATTTTGCAATCATAGATTCTGGTTATCTTCAAATTCAAAATTTAAATTGCCGATATGTAGATAAATTTGTACAGATTAAATACATATGATCTAAAATGAAGGATTTTATTCCATTAAAAACATAAAATATGAACTTAAGATGTAGATTTTATTTTTTACACGTGTGATAATACAACATTACATGCTATGAAAGTCATATTGTTTACCCGTGCATCGCACGGGCTACGCAGTAGTTGTTAGATGAATAATATGAAATTTTTACTACGGTTATTAATTAAGAAACAACTATATATTATTAACTTTTGGCTAATTTCTTTTCCACATTTCAAATAACTTAAAGGTCATTGAATTGGAAATAATTTTTTATGATACATCAATAGAAAATATAGAAACACGTGACATTTTCTTTTTTAACCAAAAAATGCATTAAAGCAACTTCAAAGTCATAATACATTATAGAAGAAAGAGGAAAACAAAACAGGGAAGATAATCCTTCCAACTTTAAGAAGAATGTGATACAACCACCCAATTAGCTATATTATGAGTGAAATTGTTTTTATTTCGTGGGATATGACAATACGTGCCTCAGTCCAGAGGCGTTAAAATATCTCTGAAATCAGCGAACCCCTCAAAGAAAGAGTCCAGTGCTTCCGAGTGAATAATATCTCCCACAACGCATT